ACAGATAATTTTGAATTTTTACAATATAATGAAAGAAATTTAAACAAGAAATTAGAAAATATCTATAGAGAAGACAAAGATAGAGAACAAAACCAAAAAATAAATGAAAAACAGAATATGAGCTCGACTACCCCTGCAGTTTGAAAAATAGTTACCAATGCCCCCTCTTCACGAGAAAAATAGCTAGAAAATGATCAGAGCGGTATATATGCAACGTTTTGAATTCACATAGATTTTTTAAACAAAATTTTAAAACAAACGGTACAATTGTGTTTATTTCATGAATCATAGGGGTTTTGGAATTATTAGGACTATTTGAATACATTAAATTGATAATAATTCCATTAAATAAAAAACATATTCTTTTTGTCTCAAATTAATCATCTCAATTTATTATTCAATATCATTTTTTTCTTTTTCCTTATTTTGGTTAAATATCCGATAAAATTCAATTATTCAACATAGTTTATCATCTTTTATTTCATAGAAAATTCAATATACTACCTCTGTCCAGTGTATTTGCCGAGTTTGACTTTTTCGAGTTAAACTGGACAAATTTTGAACTCCAATTTCTCTCAATTTATATTGTATATTAACATAATGAAATACAATTTTGAAAGTTTTCAATACGATAAATCCAATAAAGTCAATTTTATGTTAAAATATATTATGGTTTTTATTTAATTGAAGCTCAAAATTTGTCCAGTTTAACTTGAAAAAGTCAAACGGGACGAATACACTGGGACGGAAGGAGTATTTTTTAACACATAGATTTTATTTTAAAATTCTGTACTAATATTTCGATCATTTAAATTATCTAATTGAGAATGAAATATATATCTTTTAATATATAAGTTTAATTTCAAGATTTTATACTATAATTTCAATAAATGAAATTAAAAATGAACGACTCAACATCCTAGTTTAAGATGGAGGGAGTGTACTGAACAATTACACATTGAAGTTTATCTCGAGAAGGGACAGATAAAAAACATTTACCCCATATTTAAATTAGGGTCATGCTACACTTACACCACAAATTGTACCCCATTTGTACATTGCAGTTATACACAAATATTTTGATGGTTTACACCGACACAAGTGTTGGTACGTTAACAAAAATTTACACGGACACAAAATGTCGGTGCATTAACAAAATTTAGTTTCACACCAACACAAAGTGTCAGTGCAAATCTGCGGGGTACAAAATGGGATATAAAAGTTGGGGTACAAATAGCTTTATCCTTTAAATTAAAGATGGGAAAGTAAAATGATGACTCGGAGGTGCGGTAACACGTTGCGTGATCAAATATTCATTCAGGTAGAGAGATACGTGTCGGCTGCATAGCTTCCTCCTGTCGGTGCTCGACCGCGCAAGGCTCCACGTGTTTGGAGGAGGCAAGAGTAAATGAAATGGTGAAAATAGCCTCTTTGGACAGGGTCGCTTTTTTACCCGTCGTCCCCATATTAAAATCAAGAAATTATCCAAAATAAAAGTAAAATATAAAAAAATTACTAAAATAAGACTTTATATTTTTATTTCTAAATAGGAATAAAATAGAGAGAAAGTTGTAAAATAACAAATAATGCTTTATTTCTTGAATGAATTGAAGAGAAATACAAAGTATGTATTTATAGGTGAAGGAATATATTCTAGAATCCTCTACATTAATGACTAATTATATAAGGTAATATTATATAATAATAACTTTAACTATAATAGGTAACAACCATAATTATAATATATAATATTAAATATATTAAGTAATTGATATATTTAACATGCTCCCAACATCCTGAACGGTGAAGATTGAACGCCAACTATACTTGAATCGTGACCAGAATTGTAATCAGAAGCTAGAGGCATATCTTCGGTTAGTGTAGACTGAATGCATCTGGCCTAGAAGAGAAGAAGAAAGATTGCCAGGAAAGAGATGTGAAGGCGCTGATGAGGAGAGGAGAAAAGTCGCTGCGAACATACTTATGCTGCTGACGTCGAAAGAGGGAGAATGTTGACGCGCGCTGGAGTCGTGCGCGACTGGGTTAGAGAAGAAAAACAAGGAATGAGGTACTGCCGGAGATGCATGTTGACCGAAGATCTACCCACGAAGCAGGTTGAGGTGATGATATGAGTTGTGAGAGATCGAAAAAATAGGGATTGAAGGGTGATTGGAGGAGAATGACTTCTGACTCATGTTACTCTCGAGTGAACGGGTGCGATCTTGTGCCAGGAGAGGCCGGTAGTTTGGTGGAGTAGGGGACGCCAGTCAAAGCTGCGACGATTAGGAGAAGAGAATGACGTTAGAGATACCGGTCACTATAATAGAGGTTTTTTTTTGTATAATGGAAGAATTTGGGTCAGAGGAAAACATTGATCTTGGCGGGCGGCGGTTAATGGCGGTGCCGCCCGCCAGAAGCGAAAGCGGAGAAATTTAGGTCACCAAGAACGGTGGCTCCGATACCATGTAAAATAACAAATAATGCTTTATTTCTTGAATGAATAGAAGAAGAATACAAAATATGTATTTATAGGTGGAGGAATATATTCTAGAATCCTCCTCATTAATGACTAATTATATAAGGTAATATTATATAATAATAACTCTAACTATAATAGGTAACAACCATAATTATAATATATAATATTAAATATATTAAATAATTGATATATTTAACAAAGGTAAAACATAGAAAAAATATTAAAATATGAGTTTGCACTTTGATAATGCGTCACTGTATATTGACATTTCACATTATTTTTTGTTATTCATATGTTGACATTATTGATATTGTAATTTTTATTTGGAGATTAATAACATAAAACTTCTATTTTGATAATTTTTCTATATTTTATTTCTATTTTAGTCTTTCTTCCATTTGAATGTGTATGATTTTTTTAATAACCCTATATCCTTAAATAATTTACACACTTCATTATTATTCTAAATTCACAAGAACATTAGTTTATTTGACTTTTGCATTGGTTACGGAACATTTGATAAAATTAAGTACTCTTGTCACTTTTTATATTGTAAAACTATTGATATACGGAGTAATTTTTAAATATGTAATTTTTATTTTTTATTTTAATATCAATTTATAAATAAAAAAATTTGAAAATTTTGAAATTTTACCTCATTTTGACTTAAGTCATTTTGAGACGAAATGAGTACAAAAATTTAAAAGTAAAAAAATACCGCGTATTATAGATAAAAAAGTGAGATTTTTTTGGCTAGGAAAGATAAAAGTATATGAGTTTGGACTCTGTGGCCATTTAGGCCCTGTTCCGTTCAACTTATTTTTTCTTATTCTTATTAAAATGAGATCAGATCAGATCATATCAGAACAAATCATATTAGATCAGATCCAATCAAATCATATCAAACCAGATCTAATCAGATCAGATCAGATCCAATCAGATCAGACCAGACCAGACCAGACCAGACCAGATCAGATCCCATAAAGAATTATTATTATTATTATTGTTGTTGTTGTTGTTGTTGTTCTTATTGTTATTATTATTCTTAAACATGAAAAGGAATAAACTTTAAAAACAAGTTAAATAGAAAACTGAGAATTTAATTATTAGATGTCGAAAAAATTATTTTTAAAATACATTGACAATGTCAATCTAATTCTACTTTTCAAATACATTTTTATTGCTACCTGTAATTTGAGTTTCTAAAGTTTTTGATCTTTTATAAGGATGAGATATTTTAATAAGAATACTATCTCTTCTTTGTATTGATTTTATATAAATTAAATATTTATTCTAATGTATGTATGAACTAATTATTAAAATATTAAATCAATATTCTTATTTCACAAACAATAATCATAAAATAAAAAATATTATTGCATTAAAATATGAATGATTATTATAATATATAAATTAACAAACTTTATTTTATTAAAAAATAAAAAATATTGATTATATTATAATATGAATTATCATTACAATTTTCAAACGTTATTATAAACTCAAATCAAATTATTGATTTGAATTTTAAATCAAATCATAATTAATCTGATCCAATCAGATGAAATCAGATCAAATCCAATCAGATCAGATCAGATCCAATCAGATCAGATCCAATCAGATCAGGTCAGATCTAATCAGATCAGACCAGATCATATCATATCAAATCAGACCAGATCAGATCAGAACTACAAAAAATCAGATCAGATCAGAAAAAATAAGTTGAACGAAACAAAGCCTTAATCTATCTAAGAAGCAACTACGAATTCACATCTGATTGTAAATTCTTTGGTGTATCTAAGAAGCAAGTGTGTATAACTGCATAAGCATTTTTATTATATTTGATGGGTGTATTCCACCCAAGACCGGTTAAAAGAGAGGACTAAATAGTTGACCGGTCAAATGGAGAATATTTGAAAGGGAGACCTTAATCGTCGATAGAAGAATGCTCAATTGACCAAAATTCTAACCGGTATACTTAGGAAAGTATACCGGTCAAACTACTCCATTGCCTCATTCATTCCTCAAACACGGTAAACTTATCCTTAAGAAACTACCCAGTGTGGTTTCTAGGGTTAGAAAGTGTCGGCAGAGAAGAGTCCAAAAGGGTTTGGACCGTAGCAACCCGAATCAGTGGAGAATCGCTGGAGATACTCAGGCAATCCATCCAAGGTAATACACGAAAAAGGGAGCAATCCTCCTCGCAAGGTGACAAAACGGCTAGAGGACGAAGGCCATCACCTCCCACCACCTGGGAACGTGCCTCAACGTGGGTGCACGATGCTTTGTCCCCTAAGTCTTAGTATATATACTACTGTAATCCTCGGAAGTAGGGATCCGAATAGACTCTCTCTAAACTCCCTTGTAAAAACTCCCGTGCATTCTCTGTTATAATATTAGTTGAGCTACAGGTGTTTCCACCTACAGTCCTCCCGGTCACTTTGCGTGTTTTTACCTTTTTACTTTATCGAATCAAGTAAACGATTCTAGACCCGGTCTAGTATAGTTTACCCGGTTAGGTAATTTACACCATCATTTATGGCGCCACCCGTGGGGCCGTTAAGGTTTCTTTTCATCTAAACACAAACCTACCCACAAAAAGACCACTCAAAGTGTCTTCAAGCCGTTAAGGTGCAAGCCACCACTGAGGGGGTCAGCATCCCCATGGTTGCATCACAACCGGCTGTTTCTGCTCCCGTGTTGCCGTTGGGTCTGAGTTCAATCCCAACACCCAGTGTGGTCAGCCCATTCACGATCCCTGTCCCTTCTGCTGGACCGAGGGTCACGTTCCCACCAAGCATGACCCAGTTCATGAATGACCCAACCAATCTGCAAACCATCCAAGGCTTTGGCCAGGTCATGGCCATGTGTCAGCAGAATGGGGGATGCCATTCCTCCCAGGCATGTTCCCATTTTCCCTCCTAGGCGCTGGAACAATGCCCCTGCAAACTCCGATGGCGGTGACTCCCTTCTAGACGCTGGTACCATAGCCATCGCCTTTCCAGCCACAGTTGGTTAGCGTTGTAGCCCCCGTCAATTTGACCGGTGCACTCAACGCCGCCGGCCCGTCACACCCTCCACAGAACGCCCATCCCCAGACAACACCAGAGGGTCATTGTATCTCTGTGGAGAGTGATGATGAAGAGTGGGACATCCCCAGGACCCGCAAAAAGAAGAAAGGAAAAACCATCCGACCAGCAACTTCCCGAAACTCCGCCTTTGAAAGGCTGGGGGATAGGGAAGAAGGTCATAGGAAGTCAGCCAAGTTGAGATTGGGGCAGAGCGTCGCCCATGTTAGTGCATTCGCCCGGTTAGGCGAGGGGAGGGAGGCTGAGCCTGTTAGAATAAAGGCCCAACGCTGGAGGGGGGTGAATAGCGTTTAAAACAAAATCGCAGGAAATTAAAATGAGAGCGTTAAAGTAAAGAGCGTAAGGAAGGAGCACACCGGATTTTATCCTGGTTCACCACAACGTGTGGCTAATCCAGCCCCCCGAGAGACTCTCTCGAGCTACACTAACTCCGTTAAGCTTAAGGGTGCTTAACAAACCGATACAACTTGAGAACCCGAGTCACACGAGCCTCAACACCTTTGCTCGGAGATACTGCACTCCAAGACTTCTCACGAAGGAACAAGTAATTTCCTTCGAGTAATGTTGTTCCCTTGTTGGAGGGAATTTCACATACTTTTGTGAATTTGTGAGTCCCTATTTTGAGAGTGTTTCTCATCTATACTCACTTGATCATTTGCGAGTTCTTGTGCTGTTAAAGAAGTTCTTAACCGAGAGTTTATCGATTCTTTTTATGGAATGCTTATGCAATGAAGGAGTATTGAAATGTTGAAGAATTGTGTGTAAGATGAGAGGATTTGGGTGCCATTTTATAGCTCAAAATGGGATAAACCCGTTGCTAGAATTTCCAACAGGATGAAGACAAATTTTTCAGGGACACAGGCCGATAGTCGATTATCAAAGCTTGATAATCGATTATCCAAAGATTCCCTGTCCAAAAATTTAAAATTCTATCCGTTGGAGGACAACGATAACCCAGATAATCGATTGTCAACAAGTGATAATCGATTATTGGTCCTCTCAGAAGATTCTGGGTTTTGGCTGCAAAGACTGATAATCGATTATTGCATAAGTGATAATCGATTATGGCGTGCTTCAGAACTTTTGAAGTTCAAAGCTGCAGGGGCTGATAGTCGATTGTCACTAAGATGATAATCGATTATCACCCAGCTAAAGTCTAGCCAGCTGAAACCCGTTTTGAAAAACCGAGGTCCAAAAACGAAGTGTTCCCAAAAGTAAAATCCAGGTTTGGAAAATATTGTATATGGTATAAAATAGTGAAAACAAGACTTGTTTGGTAAAAGCCAAGTCTCCAAGGTCGTATAATACGTGCGTACGTTTTAGACCGTTTTTCACGTGTTAGACCGATTGACCAAGATACAAAAGTGGTTTTTATAAAATAATTATTTGGGAACATTTTAAAAATGCTCAGAGGTAAAAACAGGGTTTAAAATATTGAAAACCACGGAGTTGGTTCGGGCGCCAAAAATCGAACGCTGAAAGCCGAACGCCGACTTAGGTGGTTTCGGTTCTGAGCAAGGACCAGGGATTTTAACAATAAAAGAAATCATCAAAAATGTTTGTTTTGATGCATAAAAAATATTTTATGATTTGTAAAAATTGTTTTGACTTTTTGAGAACCGAGACTTGAATTTATTGTCGGTTTTGATCACAAAAGACCGACTCGACTAAGTCTTCAATTCTTGATCTTGTCCTTGAGTCTCTTAGGTCTTGTTCCAAGCCATTCTTCACGCCTTGAGTTATTCAACGAAACTCTATATATCCACGACGGTTTGGCAATTATAAAAACCTGTCAGAAATGAACACGACTTTAGTTTATCGTACAAAGTGTGTTCCAACAATTTCCCCCTTTTTGATAATGGAAAACAAGACGGGGATATGCATAGGGTTTTGATCTTTTTTTAAAAAAATTCTCCCTTAAAAAAAATTCACCCTTAATATATGCATAGCCCTTATCTTCCCCCTTTTGACATTAACAAAAAGATTGTTAACAACAAAAATCATCAAGATTTTTATTATTTAATTAAGAGAAATAGTGGAGTACATAACGAAAGCATATTAAAAGATGATAAAATAAGGAAGAGAAGAAAGTAGAGCTAGAGCTCTAGAAATCCAGGGAAAGATCATTGAGAAGTTGTTCTTCGTCATTGTCTTCTTCTTCTTCTTCATCTTCATCACCATCGCCATCATCATCATCATCATCATCGGCTTCTTCTTCCTCTTCTTCTTCCTCTTCCTCATCGTCCCTACCAACGTTTTGAGTCCCACTCTGTTCACCTCCGAAATTCGGTGGAGGAACGTAAGGGACCATTTGAGCGTACGGGTAATTGACAAAGTCAAAATATCCGTGAAATTCACGGCTCAAGGTATTGACGTTGTGCGCCGTTTTGGAGACGTTGGTGTCAATCCGAGAGAGAGTGGCGGTCAAGGCTGCCATTTGCTCGGCGAGAGAAGGATTGGTCGAAGTGGTGGCGGTTGAGGCAGTGGCTCTCGGTTGGCGGCGTGGACGAGGCTGTCGAAACGGAGTCTCGTCAGTGCCCGAGTGGAAAGAGGATTCATCAATCTCCCAATGCTTTGTTCCCTTTATCTTTGGCCCAACATCGGTTTTGATGTTATACTCTTCAAGAATCGCCATGACGAGGAGGGTGTAGGGGAGCGGCCGATCGTCGGAGGTGGCGGTGAACTTGTGAGTCATCACAAATTTACAACAATTGAGATTGGCGTTGTGAACCATCGCATGAATTGTCTTTGTGTCCTCCTGGGAGAGAGTGGTGTGATTGAACTTCCTAGGCTTGAGAATCCGTGTCAAAACATAAAAAATTTATCGAAACACGGGACTCATGGAAGCAATCGTAGGGCGCCGCTGTTGGGGAGTGGGGACGAAGTGCCGGATGCCTACTTCCTCCAAGAGGGCGGTCTCATTGAACCGCGCTCCTTCTTCTCCGACGTAGAGCCCGAGATCCTGTCCGTCCCGACGAAGCCCTGTGAGAATTTGAATGTTTTCCTCATTCAAATAGATGTCCACCCCGTTGACGTTAGAGATCAACGCTCCGTCCACATCCTTTTTCAAGTTCGAGTAGAAAGCTCGAACAAGAAAGGGGTGATAATTGACCTTCTTGATGTAGAGGAGGTCGAGGAAGTTTCCACGTTCGAGGATAATCCGTGACTCACGTGGAATGGAGTCATGAATGAAGCGGGCGGTGGAGAATCGGGGAGGGAGAATTGTTGGGAAACGAGGCTTGGATAACGCAGCAGAAAACAAAAATTTATAGTCCAAAACTCGATTCCACCCAAGAACAACTTACGTAAATTACTAGCTATAGTAAGAAATTTACCTTAACGGTGAAAACAGAGAACGGAGGAACGGTCGGGGATGGTTTTGAGGAGATGAACGTAGTGCCAAACGTATGAAGCCTCCAACGTATCCACACGAACTTGCTCCGGAGTCCAAGATTAAACTTGTGCTAGCAAGTTTAATATAGGATAGTAAAAACTATAATAATACTACTTTGGGAGTAATAAATATATAGTAAAATATTTATCTTATAAATATTTCCTTATAATATTTTGTGTATATTTCTAACACTTTAGAAAAATAACTTTGAACACAAAATAGGATTTTTCTTCTCTCTTCCTTGTGATGGCCGAAACTATTAAGCTAAAAGGGGAGGGATTGTTTTTCATTTTATAATAAACAACTTAAATGAATTTCTAGGAAATAGCTTAGGGACAAAACAAATTAGGATTAATGTAATGTCCCCAACCAACACAACAAGACAAATATCCTTTTGTTAATCAAATATTTGATTATATCAATCAAATATATCATTAGGTAGAATATCAATTTATGTCTTGTATTTTTCCCTTTGATATTTTCGGCCATAGCATGTTAAAATACATTACATTTTATTTTTACATCAATAATTATCATATAATTAAAATGATGAAAATAAAAGTAATATATATATATATATATATATATATATATATATATATATATATATATATATATATATATATATATATATAA